TATTATTACTTTACTTATTATATCTAACCAGCATCTTAGTTAATATGATTCAGAAAAGCGAAAAGAAAAAAAAAAAAGTTTGCGTACTGGCAGCTGAAGCTGCAGCTGGCGGTATTACAAAAATATTTTTTTAACCCAATGGTGAGCACACTCCTTTTCTGCAACGGAACTGTTCCTATTCTGCACACTCCTATTCTCCTAAGGTTAAGAGGTGGCGAACATTTTATCCTGGGGAAGGAGCTAATGGGCGGCCATCGTTGCTCATAGGAAGGGACGGACAGTTACAATCACGCGTTCTCCAGGATTCGAACCTAGGCCCTTCAGTACCGCAGTAGGCTCCCTTGACCATGATACTGTCTGGGCGGCATATTCCAAAAATAATAATTACGTGCTTTTTTATTTAGTAAAAAGAAACACAAGAGAATGAATTTCCATAATACATTTTAATTTTCGTGCTGGGTTATTTTTTTTTTTTTTTTCTGATTCCCAAAACTATTACAAACGTAAAAAAGTAATGTTTAAAAAGATGCATATTGACTTAAATTAATGAAACTAACATTTCGGTTTTAAATCGGTACCGACAAACTAAGCTGATCAATGTTTACGTTTACAAATAATGTTTTCAAAAAGGAGAGTAATCAAAAATAATCTAAGAGAGACCAATGACCAAAAAACAATTTTAGTTCACTCTGCACTAATAAGTCAAAAATATGAGTTCGTCCAAAAATTAACATCAACACTAACGCAGAAAAATAATTATTAGGAAAGAGAGGAATAAGGGGCTTGCTAGGATTAGTATAAACAGCTTAGACATATAAATCTATAATCAAAAGTGCTTCTTATTGAAAATGAATTTATGAGCTTCCCATAAATTAATAAATTTTCAATATAGAGAATTACTCAAATAGCATTAAAGATTCGTTGAGAATGATGTTGATACATATGATAACAACGCTCTTACATTTACCAAAAATCTGTCAACTGCAGTTAATTTCCAGATTGTTCTAAAAGTATCTAAAGTCGTATTTCGCAAATGTTTTCTTTCCTATTGCTTTTTCTCAAAAGATGGCGCTACGATTATCGCTACTTCATTTGTTTTATTTTGATAGCTAAATTTCTGTAGAATGATCCAGCATGGGCTTCATGTTAGTTTCTCGAGTTTTCCCTTCGAAACTGAATTTTGAGCCTAAAATTAAATTTTTCCCTTATACTTATTGCTTCATATTAAGTTTCCTATTTTGTACTCTCATTTAGAGTTAGCAGTTCAGAAAATTTTATTAAAAAGAAAAGTATATATATAGTGTTACTAAACAATCATTTCGCAGGTTTACTTCTTGAATTTTATTCGGATAAAATTAGTGTCTTATTGCAATTTTTTATAAATTTGAAAATTAAGAAGTCAAAAGTATGTTGGAGTCTGAATTTATCTTTATATTAAGAAAGCAACAAGTAATTAAGACTTACAAAAACACTGGCGTTCAAAAGTAAAAGGAAATTTAAAAAAAAAAAAAAAATCCGTTCAGTATTCCTATTGAATCTGGTATTTAATGGTTACGTCTCAGGTCAAATTAAAATACGTGCGGGTCTTGTAATAACTTAAAACGTTTTTACTTGGGTTTTTATTAGAGATCTGAATTTATTTCCTAAGATTCTGCATTATGTTTCTGTGGTAAATTATAGTTATAAGCAAAAGAAAAACAAAACGTTTAAAATTTAAAGCATAAAAGATATTTACAGAATACATGAAATAATACTTTTCTTGATTAAGATTTTAGCTTTTTTGATAAAGATTTTAGCATAAGATAGTCAAAGTTGTTTTACTGCAAGTCAAAGTTGTTTACTAAATATCTTAGATTTAAATGCGTCTAAAAATCCTGAATCTTCGGCTGCTACCAGAAAAGAGATTTGAAGTTTGGAAGAACAATGAATTATGTATAAATAAGGATAACTGAACAAAGTTTTTATTTGTTTTAATATAAAGCTTGGGAAAAAATAAACAAATCTATACAAACTCTAAAGTTTTGTATAAAGAGGAGAGAATTCCATTTTACAATGAAAAAATTAAACATTTTGGACAGTCGAGGATTAATATTAATTTGAAACATCCTGTGATTTGTCAGTATACTAAAAACTATTAAAAAGGAGTAAGTTATTTGCGGGATTTCCGTTGTTATATATTTTCTCACACTGATTTCGAAAATTGCAAGGTATAAAAATATTGAATTTAAACTCATGATAAGATAAAAAGTCTTAAGAGCTTACTATAAGAGAAAATATTCCTACCGCAATAAATTTACGACTAAATATGAGAGATATACCGCTTTTAGTTAATGAAAAAATTTGAATGTTCATGGAATAAATCCAAATGCTTATAGCGAATCCTTTTTATACTGCTGGTCCCGCTCTAAATAGCCTACGTGCAAAGAGAACTGTAGAAAATCAAATCAAAGCTGCTTGTTCTAGAAAATGTAAAACGTAAATCAATCACCAAACAAATACGTAGCTAACGGAAGTATTATAATGCAGTGATATTATCGTTACTTATTGTATTAATGTTAACATGTAAGCAGGATTTTAATAGATTCATATCACCTATATCTAATCATGCGGAATAAGTTAAATCATGAAGATAACATTTATTCGTGTCAAGATAAGCAGATGTTTCATTTTTTTAAGTTGTTGTAATAATGCAATGCAAATTGAGTGGCAAGATCTTATTTTAAAATTAGTCACATTATTTTGTTTTAAACTTGCAGTTCAGAATTGAAATGATATTTCGCAACTATTGCAACTTCCTTACAAAAATAAGTAAATGGCTCATTCTTGTAATGAAAATATGCAGAAGAAAAATCAGATTTTCTGGAATGTTTTAGTCTTTTTGAATTATACCGCCGTACATTCTCCATGTTAAGTTATTAATGAGAGATATATAAGCATCGCAGTGGTAAAACCCCAAAATATACTATTGGGGTGATCAGAAAGTGACGCAGAATTGAGACAAACAAACAAAAAATACTGTTGCATTTATTTATTAGGCCTTGTGAGCGTCTACAGAATTAAAATTATCCATCATTTCATGTGACTTCTGTCCATCTTTTTAGTTCCTCTCTTGAAAAACAGCCATTAGTTTTAAGAACAAATATTCATTTATTGCATTTTCGAGCTCCAGTTTACCATGGAAGAATTTGGAACAAGAAAAAACTTTATATAATAACATTATAACATTTTGTATTATTAGTAGATGTACTAATATTATTTTTAGGTTTTACTTCATTTTTAATTGGAAGCTGTGCTTCCTTGAACTCGGGTAAAAGCAAAATTTCCCTTAAGCTGCATAATTTTAATCTGGAGATTATTATTACCAAAAGTAAAATAATATTATAATGATAACAATTAATTGGGGGCAGAATAGAAAAAGGAAGAAAATCTAAGAAAGAAGAAAACTGGAGAAAGTAGCTTCAGTGCTCACAATGTTCTAACCACTTAGTCGTTGAAATTCGACTGTAGACAGGTAAACAGTGAGGTAACACTTCACCATTACAACGAATTTCTACTTTCTGATAAACAGATAAGACATCTGCTCGCATATAATGAAAAATTGTCATTCTTCCAAAAATATTTTCCAGGCCTTATTAAAATCGAACGATGTATGCTATTATGCTTGCTCCGATTCTCTTTTCAGCTATATGGAAGAAGTGGAGTATTGGATTAAGGAAAGCAGGCAAGGGTTCTCTGCCCAAAGGGAAAGATGCTTATATGGAGAACTTTTTAAAGGATGCTAGCTCGTATTCATGCTGCACAGGGCGAAAACTATGAAATTCCGAATCTGCGAAACCGATCGCCGGAATTTGCGAATTACCAATGCTCAGCGATTTTCCTACTCTGCCGGGAAGCAAAATACGAACGGCCTCGGTTAGGATTTTGAAGGAGCGAATGAACAGCCTTGAAATGTAAGCGTAGGGAATAGCTGCCTGAGAAATTACTGGAATTGATCACTCTTGTAAAGGAATTTAGTTTCTAACTTTAAAAAGTAAGTTTAAAAATGAGAACAATTAATTTTTCTCTTTTAATTCACAGTTTCTAAACTGACAGAATTAAAAAAATTAAACGAGGGAGAAAATACTCACAAAACAATGTACCGTCGAATCTTCTCTTATGAAATTTTCTTACAGCGGCCCTCCCTCAACGCACAGCTCCTGAATTTCTGATTATCGAAATATTACACCAACGCACTCCCATTTGGAAGACACTTATCGATAAAGATTAAATATCTTGGTCCTGCAATTTTCGACTAACGGTATGTTCAATTGCACTTTCTTTTTACTCCTCCTTCTTTTACTAAAACAATTTAATTCGAAAAAAAATTAACTGAAGCAAACAATCTCAGAGTAACTCTCTTTTATACCAGCAAAACTAAGATTTAAATTCTCAACAGTTCACCAGAGTCTTTGCACTGTTAGAAGATAGCTCATTCACTAAAGTCGTAGTTAAGTTCATAAAGTAAATTATCTGTCTTTTCTGAAGTCCTTTTGCAATTCTTTCGATTTTCATATTTTTAAAATAACCCGGTAAAAGAGAATAATGATAGGCAGAAAAGATAACATGGAAAAAATTTATAAATTAGCATAAAAAAAGATATCTTACAAAGGGCTTTGAGAAATCACATTTATTTACAGAACGCAAATTAACTTATAAAGAATAAAAAAAAATATTTTATTAACAAAAGCCATAAATTTTGTCTTTTGATAACGGATACAAATGTATTAAATTGTACGAAAATTTTGCCTTGAGTGATCTTTTATGATTTGGCTTGTGATGAACAAACATTTTAAATTACAGCAAAACGAAACTCCTTAATAACTTTATAACAATTCTCTTTTGTTTAATAAATGGCTTCAGGTAGACTTCAGCTAACCTAAATTGCAGTAATGCTGTTTATCTTTATTGACAATCAATTTCTCCCGCCAGTCAAGCAAGAAGCTTTGGGTTTTCAGTGACCGCGGAAATTAGGCTATTGATCTTTCATCGATAACTCACCGATGAGCAATTGTCGGTAGGTATTTAAGCTCTCAGTTAGTTTAAAAGTATGTAAAGTAGTAAATTTTGAACATTACAGAGCAAGCATGATGAAGACTGTGGTATGTATGAGTGTCTTTTTGTTCTTGATTTTAATTTCATGAAAACATTTTCAGTTGTGGAGATGGTGAATTTTTATGTTCCAATTGTATATTAGCACATTTTTTAATCTACGTAGAATTTTAATAATTGACTAAATAATTTCATTCTGTTATGATCTGTTTTATGCATATTTTCTAGAAAGAGCGCTAATTAAGGGTCGTATTAATTTGAGAATATGGTCTTGAAAAATATGTATCTTGCTTAATACGCAAGATTTTATTTTTGAAGTACTTTCTAAGAAAAAAAAAACTTTCGACTTTACATACATGAAGATAAGAAGAAGGCTTTATATATGTGAACATACTTTACATAAAAAGGTTTTATATATATGAACTTGATGTGCATAAGATGTTGCACAAAGAAAAACATAATTAACGAGCCTAACTACTATATGTCTGTATAAAAAGCATAGTAATTTTTAATTATCATTATTATTAATTATATTTAACATCAAGTTTAAGGATAAGTTACTTTAGCACATGCTCTAAACATTGAATAAAAAAGGCAGCATGGTTTCTAAAAAGCCATTAAGAATAAGTAAACTTCATCTTATATTTGAACCAACTCAGCGTATGTTTAATCCAGCCCTATAAACATTTCCTTATTCTGAATGCTATTTAATTAAATTAATGAAAGTTAATTTGATTACATTTTACTTTAAATTGGAACATTGTAATGTAGAATAAAAAATTGCAAAATGAAATTCTAAATTTTTTTACATACTTGCACTATATATATAAATCTGTTATATAAATTCTTTAGATGTGCTCAGACGTGGCCGTTAATATAAAACATAGCTTTATTTCGCAAGAAAGCAAGCCTTCGATAAGCATTAACAGGTTCACATGCTGTCATTATGGCGCCCTACAATTTGATATACTATTTGTATCATGAAGCAATGAAGCATAGCGATGCTAAGCATGATAGCAGTAGCAAGTGAAGTAGGAAAAATGACTGCGAAATTAGTGAGAGCAGCATATAGACTTGGTTTTGTTTAAAGTTTGAACTGTAACTTGGTTTTGTTTAAATTTTGAACTGTGACTAGTAAAAAATATCCTCAATGCTACTCAAGAAATGGCATGATACGGAATAACTTTCAGATGACGCAATTTGGATTCAAATATTAGTAAGTTTAACCCATTAGCCGCCAAAACTACAAGGAATGTTTCTTTTCTCATGAAAATAACAACAAATATTAAATTAAGCATTTTTAACATAAATTTACATTGAAAATAAAAAAAATGCTCTTACCTGTGGAAAAAGCGAGTGTTGCGTTCGCGCAACGTCAGCGGAATAAGACTACGGATGTTTAGTGAGTAGGATTGTACTCGTGTGATGTTTCTTTTGAGTGGAGCGCATGATTACGTTTTAGCTGTATAACGTTTTATAAATCTACAAATCACTTTACTTGTAATTAATTTAATATTAAAATATACATTGTATTTCTTTTACAAATACAGATTATTTCATTTGAAAGATTCAAGCATGAAGAGCTTGATTACAATCTTGATGTAAAGCTACATTACATACTTTGCATCTATAAACAGTCTGGCTATGGTACTCTTTACAACAAAGTCTTTATTTACCAACGGACTTTACGATAAAATGTCTACCATCTCCATGCAATGGTTTTTGAATGCTGAATTTACTAGGTCTTCCTGTTGCTGATCTATTTCTGGCTAATTCTACACTCTCAATAGGAGTTTGCAAAAGGAATAATGCATTCTCGCGTCTGAAATCTAAAAGAGACTTTATATTTCCAGTAGTAAAAAGTGGCGATATTTAGTAAGCTTAGATACGGTCTCACCTCATATAATTTATCAGTATTGTCAATTTGACTATTGTCAAATGCAAATTCTGCTTCATATTCCTGTACTGCAAATGTGATATTAATTCTCGTGCAACAGGAACAGACATGTCCTTATCAAAAGACCAATACATTTTTTCTTGAGGTAAAAAATGCCAGCCTGTAAGCAATAATATTCCAATAAATCTTCTCATATAGGCTTCAGATGCAATAGATTCTGTTTTTTTTTTTTTTTTTTAGATATTTGTCTGTTCAACGAGAAGAGAGTAAATGTCTAAACCAAGAAGAAAATCGAAAATCTGTGTACTAGTTTTACCTTGTGTTTTGTCTTATAATTTCTCTTCTATATCTTTCTTCATGTTCTTAGTGAGACATAAGTAACAGTTTCTTTTTATCCACTTCAAGATTTCAGTCTTCTGCTTTTAAACTTTTTAGTATGACTATACCTGCTTTTAGAAGGCTGAAACTTATTTGTCTTACGTGAATTTCAAACTTTTCCCAGCAGTATCATTTGGTAAAAATATCATTATCATTATTTAAAACATTGCCATTCCTTTTCTCTTGTCACTAGCCTCTGCAATTCTGGGGACACAACAACAATATCAGTTTCATTCTGGTCATTATTAACATTATCATCATCTGTTTCTTCATAAAAAAATCTTTGAAGGGCTTCTTCTAATGTAAGATACCTCGTTCTAGGCATTTTTAAACAACCAGAACATCGAAAGGAATGAGTGGGAAAGGAGATTGACTACCCGTTTCCTGCTGACGTTGCGTCAACGCAACACCTGTTTTTCCTTCCTTCCCAACACAAATATAAACATCTGACTGATGTAATGTTCTGATAAACGGTGACTTTTACTAAAAATAGATCACTCATAAAGACGGCGATTCTTTCGTTAAATATTTTCAGCAAAAATACCTGGTCGAAAATTTTGCTTAAATTTTGCTTAAAGTATGAGATTAATTATTATAAACAAAATGATTGTTGAAAGCATTTCTTTCCTTAAAGAAATAATCTTCATAATATTCCCTACACAAAATCATTGTGGTAAAATATCTTAGGTAGTTATATTTATATACACATTTATTTTGACCGTTGCGTCAACGCAACATCAGCGGCTAATGGGTTAAGACAGGTAGGGGATGCAGGCAAATTAAAATTAGGAATTAAAAAGATTATTGCTAAATTAAGGTTAGTCGTTTTCTTTCATAGTTTATATCTTACAGATACACACACACATATATATATAAGAATTAATTAAATGTCTTATTATGATGCTTGTGTAATCACAGTGCTGCACATCTAAATTCCGCCTATTATTGATTACTTATTCTTTTAGAAAAGCAATTGAAATACAGATAGTAAGTATATATTTTGTGTAATCAAAATAATAGAGTTTATTCTGGTGGCGTTTTCGAAAATAACTAAAGCTTGGAACACGATTACGAAGCCTTTGTATTTTAGTTTAAGCTGGACAGTTTTTAAACTATTAAGAGCATTTTCAAAAATTTCGAAGAATTATTGAATGTATAATATTGTTTTTTACTTTTTAACTTTTTAAGACAAAGGTCTTGTATATTTCCATTTTGATAAATTTGTGTTCGATAAAAATAGCTATTGTTAACAATCGATCCCAAATGGAATCTTCCATTACATGTGATGTTACAAAATGTTCCTGAACACTGCTTTTAGATTATAATCAAATGTCTAAAACTGATTTTTCTGAAATTCTTAGTTATGTGTATTGCAACTGTTTTTTTAAATTATGACTATCATAAACAAAATATATTTTAACACCTTATTATAGACCAACTGCAGAATTTCTAGCTCTAATTCTTGTGTGTATACTGTAGTCTACATCAGAAACAATATCTAATTACTCCCATGAAGTTAATTTCTTATTGTATGTCCACCTCTAGATTTAATCAAAATGTAATATATAGATAGTCTTTAATAGTTTGATATTTTTTCTGTTTCTACCGCTTTATTTTCATAAAGAAAATTCAGAACAAATTCTTTTGCTTTTAAAACCAAAAACATTTTTGAGCTGAATTTTAATTTCAGTTAAACATAAATATCTACCTTTATTAAATGGCAACACTAGATATTATTTTTAATTATTATCGCATAAATATTTATGCGATAATTTAAAATGCGTTACATATTCCCTTTTTTAATATTTTTAACAACAATAACTTATTTCAACTGGTATGCTCTAAACTGAAGTTTTCAACATCTTCCTGATCAGTATAGAGATTAGCTAGGCTGGTTTCCATATCGTTTTGCCCATTGCCGAACTCAGGATTTGGTATTGGCGTTTGTAAGTGTATAAATAACGTCTTTGCCGAATGGGAGCACTCAAACTACACAAAGAGCTGAAATTCCTCTTACATGTTTTTTTTTTTTTTTTTTTTTTTTTTTTTGATGGGAGAAGAGGAGTGGGAAACTCTTACTCCGTCTCTCGAAACACTTTCCTTCAAAACTGGAACAGAACTGGACAAAGTCGTAATAACATCTATAAGGTACCCACGGCCACTGGCAACAAGACGCTATTCTGCTCTTCTCTCCATGATAAAATACCTAGACTTATTCTGAAGTTACTGTCCGACAGATGAGATAAGTCACAACAACAATTTTGCAATGTGCGTTTTTTTTTTTTTTTTTTTTTTTTTTTTTGTATAGATAGTAAAATATTTATGGATTTTATTTCTATATTATGTTACATGAAAGATGATGGAGCAGGTAAAGATTTTTTATTTATCTCGTTTGGCCTTAAATTTGAGTTTTATATGAAAAGGAAATGTGTCATTTCAATGGAGACTGATGTGATTTCTTTTCTTTAAGGAGCAAAATTATTTTGTCATAAAATACCACGAAAAAGGTGCAAAATTTTCTTGTAAGTTCAGAAAAACAAAATACTTTTTCCAGAGAGCCAAACGTGCAGGAATGATACTAAATAGTATACAAATTGCTTTTTCACTTATAAATCCCTCTGACGCAAAATAACAACGAATAGAACTTAGTTTTTAAGCTCTGTTAGCTTAGATATGTTAAAGCTAGTTACCTACCTTATTACTAAAAGCAAAGGAAATATTCAAGCAGGCAGGCGAGCTAAAATGATTAGTTTAAACGATTAATTGCTTAGTCTGCTGCTCCTTAGTAAAAATTTTGATGAGACAATGGTGAAAAAAAATATTGAAAAATCCTGCAATTCTTTTGATAATTTCTTTATAGTGGCTTCTGCTCTCTAGCAAAAATTTTACATAAAGGACATAATGGCTATTTGTCCGAGGGAAAGTTTTCGTGGAAAGATTTTTAAAGGGAAATTGGCTCATAATTATACATGTACATAGGAACTTCACAGAAAAGCACACTGTGTACATTTAAACATGCATAGTGCATGGCAATCATATACACATACCTAAAGCAGAGACTGCTGCCCAGATCAGAATAACAGCGTTTCAATGAACTTAAACTCTTGGTCATTAGCGATCGGGTTGGAATATGAAATTTAAGGAAAATAACGCTAATTAGCTTGAATTGTTTCTTTGTTAGTTAATAAGCAAAAAAAATTAAAAATATTAAAAACTAAAATTAATGCGAGAAGTTTCTAATTTAATTTCATAAATAAATATCTTGAAAGGAATAAATATCCTGTTGCTAAAATTTAAGCGTCTTTTGCATTACGGTTGTTGCTGTTGCTCATTTGTCTGACCTGTAGTCAACCCAAGACTACGAATTTCCTCGTGGCAAGGAGGGCAAGTTTACGCCTGTCGTTGGCCTCAACCTGAAGCACCTTACAGGTGACAGGGCCATTTTAGCTCAATTCGCTTATACCAGTTGGGCGGTCTTTCACATTATAAAATATAGTATTATTTCGAAGCATCATTGAATATGATTGTGACGTTCCTTACTGAATATAACTTTCTTTTTGTAATTCTAATTGTATCTTTTTATTTCTAAAATTACTAATTCTTTATTTCCTAAATAGATTCAGTTCCTAAATGGCTTCAGAAGAAACACAAAATGCACTCATTTGCACTTCTAAAATTTTGCATAAAACTTACATTTTAAATTTTACATTTATTATCTGATGTATTATCGAAGGCTTTTTTTATAAGTACAGAATAACCAATTTTTGTGCTTGTATTGTTAATGCCTTATATAATAAGTTGTTCTTGCAGATACACATATATTGTTTTTGCCTAATGTAAATAAGAAAACTATGAACTGAAGTAATCATAAATGAGAATAATTAAACATTGAAGATTTAAATTATTTATACATCAGGAATTTCTAATGAAAGATTCTACTTTTCCATGATGATTGCTGCATTTCAGATGATAATTCAGAATATTCTGAATATTTTCATTCATATCACCCTTTTTAATAATCTTTTCCCCTACAGCATTATTTTACATAATTTAATAATAATAATACTAATAATTTAATATAAATAATAGCAATTCATAATAATTTTGCATAATCAATAACATTTTATTCACTTTTATTTGCATCTAGATCATCCTTTTGGCATTGGTGACCAAGGTCTATTGCTCCTACTACGACGTCATTTATCATAAAACACACTATGGTCATGGAGATGGAATCAGTTACAGATTCTTCAAAAAATACCAAGGACACAATAATGACTATGGATACGGTTCATCATACGGCGGTGTGGATGACACTAGTTATGACTATGATGGGAATGGATATGGTTATTAAACATGCCAAATTCTTAGGTTATTATTAATTTTCATAATTTATGTACATTAATGTACATTTTAAAAATTAGTAAAAAATACTCTTAACTGAAGTTTATATTTTTAAGACCTTTATTGAACGTTATTACTGAACGTTTATTGAACGTATAACTTGACTTTAAAAAAAGCAGTGAAAATATATAAAATTTTAGACACTTTTTAAACTGACACAAAGTGCAGCAACAGTTTCATAAAATACACAGTACCGTTAAAAATATTAAAAATAACAGGAACCAAAGATGTTTATGTTAATTAATAAGTTGAATACAACGTAATTTTCTCTGTATTCTAAAAAAAATTAACAATATTTCTGGACTAATTCCATTTTAGATTAATCTATGTCACATAGCTTTCGCAACGCAGATGACGTAGCTAATGATGAACATGAACTTAAAATTTCAACAAATGAAACTTTTCTAACCTAAAGCAAAACCTTTTCTTAGTGGCTTGCGTATTGGATAATTGGGTACTTCAGCTTCTGCCCCTCTTCCAATTAAGATGCTGTTTCCTTCTTTCTATCGTAGCAGTACTAAAAAATATAAATGTTCTTGAATAGGCACGTTTAGAGTTCCAAGTGAATTATGGCAACAAATGTCAATTGGAATAAAATTAAGAATCTAATCCTCCTCGACTGGCAAGTTTCCTAATAGCTACGGATTCAACATTTTAGCATACTGCACAATCAGAATTCTTGTTCTTCTATATGTTATGTGAATTCTACGTGCTATGCCATCAATATTTCTCTTTTCCATCACACACACATATATATGTATGCTTGAAAATATTGTTAATGAAATTGAAAACAATGAAAAGTTAAAATTAAAAACAAACATACTAATCTGCGCATGTACTACAAGATTGAAAATTATGTATATATTAATATATATATATTATTATTATTAGAAAAAGTGTTTTATATATGATCTCCAAGGAACAGAAATTCAATTAAAACAATGAATTACTATAAGAAAAAATTTTAGTGAGTGCTTTAATTAGTATTTTAAATTAGTATTATTGAGACCTGTATTGCAGTAAAAACCATTAAAAATCTGTAAGGAAAAATCTTGAATCGGAAAAATACCAAAAACAAAAGTAAACATTTTAAGTACTGAAGAAGTAGCTAATGTCTACAGATTATTGTCTACAGATTGCAGATTAATTGATTTGTCAAGGGGAGCAAACCAATCTACTATCACTTAACAATAACTAAATTAAGTGAGAGTGTTTCGCTATTTTTCCAAGTAATGTTTCTTCTCTATTCTAAGTAGAGTTTCGTCTTTTTTCCAAGTAGTGTTTCGTCTTTTTTCCAAGTAAGAAATAAATTATTATTCTGCTAGAGCTAGACCATAAGTCAGGAACAATACTCAATTAATAGAAAGATATTAGTCCATTTAAGCCAACAGAACTGTCATAAACAAAATAAAATTAGTAAGATCAACTTTTCAATTTAAGTTACATTAAGAACATAATTAAAAGAGATCCTTGCTTTAGAAAAAATATTCCCCGATACTATAATTTTAAACACAAATTCAAAAGTAAAAACAAAAATTATTATAATATTAAAAAGTTAAATACAAAATCAAAATATCAAAATTTACGTTATCTTTTAAATTAGAGTTTAATAAAAGGTAATTATTTAGATAGTTTAAGATTATCAGGAAAGAAATTAAAATTAGCTTAATTATCTGCAAAATTTAAAACGCAATGGTTGGAAATGTAACTATACTCAGTGATGGAAGAGGTTGGTCGTAAAACTTGTTCTAATTTTAGATAGTTTCGCCTTAAATTGGCGAGAAAAATCTTAATTTAAATTTAAAAGGTTCCTGGAGATAATATATTTATAGTAGGTATATGTATACATTTGGTACAGCCGATTGCGATACAAAAGCGACGTGCACAGCTAGGTGTTATAGCAGTCCCCCCCCATGTACAAATTTCTTCAACATTCTATGGCTAATCGTTTTTGTGATATGTAAGATTCACAAACAATAATCCCTTCTGAATTCATTTTAAAATTCATTTTAAAATTCATTTAAATTCATTTTAAATCTTTTTTACTACAACCCAGTTTGGGAAAAGTTATCCTTTGTTCTCTCCGCACCTACAGATGCCAAAAGGAAAAAATCGTCCGAATGAATATTAACGATGTCAAATTAGTATTTCCTTTGATATATTAATTTGACTAATATAATATCCTAAATTTTTCGCGATTACAATAGTCCCTTCATTTCGTACAAGAAAGTGAAAAAGGCAGCTAAACTAAATATTACTCATAGCGGCTAAACTAAATACGTTAAAGAACTTTCTAAAATTAAAATTTGGGGAGATTATTTATGTACTGATACATCCTTTTCCTGAATTTGTTATAGTCCTTCTATTATAGTAATAATTCTAAACTTGGAAACTAAAAACAACTTGGAAATTTTAGATAAATTTAAATCCAAATAATTTTTAATGTAATGTTTTCCCCGTTACTCTACTCATAAATAGGATACAGTGATAAGATATTTAGTCAAAGCCAAATTCATATCAGGTTTACTGGTTTTGATTTTTTTTTTTTTTTTTTTTTTGACAAAGTATTTTTGATAGAGCTAGGTAAAACTTTATCAATATATCAAGGGGCAAACTTATCGTAAGGTAAACGTGTTTCTAATTAGTTTCTCATTAAATAAAATATAAGCAATTTATTATTTACATTTATAATGTAATATGCTTCAATATGGGCTAAAGTTAAATCAATAGAATAAGAAAGCTATCAGAAAGAAGTGAACTGTTTTAAGGTTTAGAAAAGAGATGTTTGAAAACTATAACTAAGGTTTAGAAAACTATAAGAAAACTATTTTAAGGCTTAGAAAAGAGATGCTTAGAAAAGAGATCTTTTTTAAACCTTAAAAATTTTCAGTAGAAATGCGTAATTTAAAGAATATGAGAAAACTGGATCGCTATCTTCTCAACCATATTTATACAAAATCAAGATTCTCCTTAACGTAGAGATCTCGAAAAATATACTGATAATACAGATCAGTGTTGAAAAAAGATTATAATGTGCATAACTATTCTTTAATTATCATTCGATAAATAACATTTACATAATATTCATAAAATGCTTAAATTAAAAAAGAATTGCTTAAAACTTTTTCACCTTCATTTGCATAAAAACGAAATATTGAAGTTTCCATTGTAATTAATTAAATTCTTGTTGTTTAATATACTTCCGTTTTGAGAAATACAGCTGAAATTCAACAAACATTTAATTTTCTGCAGTTGTACTTATAGTAAAATGCTGCGTTTAAGAAGTAAGTTTTCTCATATCACTAACGCAATTGATGAAAATAATCAATAATGGTAATACGTAAACTAAGACTTTCGAGTCTCAATCTTGTCAAAAAACTCAGTTTTTGCCTTTTGTGGTGGTCAATTGTTTTGTGTCAAAAGTTGCAGAAATTCAAGAAAGGATATTAATGGCAAATTTCTTTAATGTATTAAACTCCCTAATTTATGCTACTATTAGCTTTAAACACCATTAGGTTTGTGAAAGATGGAGTGAAATTCTCCCAAACACAATGAATTCTAATAATTGAGTATTATTTCGCAACGCAGAAATTTGATCGAGATACTATCTTTCTCTCACACTTTGTTGGCAATTGCAATAAGTTTTTCTTGACATCCCCCCCTTTTTTTCGAACTTATGAGAGTAGGACTGCCATTTCAGTTCTTATGAAGACCTCTAGTTCTCGAAATTAGATTACTAAGTAAAATAGCATTGTCTTCTTGGTTTCCTAAATATTTGGGAAGATCTCTTAAGAAACTTCGATATTTTTTCTCTAAGAATTAATTGAAAAGTAATGCTCAAGCATAAAAATTCGTTTCTGACTGAGAAAAACTCATTTCATTCTTGAATCAAACAAAACCTTCTTAATGCTAACAACATAAACTGCAACTGCAAATATTAATTAATTATTAATTAAAACAGTACAGGGGGTCATTCATTGAAACTATTTGCCAGTAATATCTATTTTGGAATTTCCCCAACTTTTGAAAGTGTGTTGCATTAGAATGCTTGATCCCCCTCAAATTACAGGCCTGCTTCCCATAGAACTTTCTCCATGTCGCCATTTGTCTCTTAGGTAGATAATCTGTGTGTCCTATGCCAATCCTTTCTTGTTTCACCTAGTATAAATGAACTCTTGCATTGTGTAAAAAATTTCAAAATTGGTTTTCAGAGTGTTAATCAACCTATTTAAAGCAGAGGAAAGGAATAGACAGGAGAGAAAAACAAAAGAGAGGCATCAATAAGATCATAAGTTATTGAAAAATTTCCATGTATAAATTTGTATTGAAAAAATCAATAGCAATTTTCTCCAATTGATGGTTTAGGCCACCTAAACAAGTTTAGATGCTCTAAATAGTCAATATGAATTAACAGATTGCTTTTAAAATATATTTTATGTATATATATATGTTACCGTGAAAGACCGATATTGGAGAATGACGGCTTTCACCGGAGAATGTCAACATTCACCAAATACGTCGGTGAAAGATCGAATATTGCATTACATTCGGACCTTCATCGGTGTATGTCGACAATCACATATATGCTCTGGTGTAGGCCGAAAAGAGAGGAGTATATGTACACGCTGACATTGCAAAAGGCAGTGTTCCACAAATAAATGCAGTGGTAAAATCAAGGGCCTCTTGTGCAATTCAAAGTGTCATAATAGTTTAAGTTGTTATAATAAATAAGATTTGAATTACATAATTTAGTAAGTTTTTAACTTCTATTATTTTCCTTTCTCATTTTGAATGTACTGTGTGTTTTAAGTTCTTATATTCTTAAGTTCTTATTTTAAGCCTCAAGTGAGTTTTTTCGCTACTGAATTACGAAGAAAATATAATATTCTTATATGTTCAACATTCACCATTAGTACATGGTGAATGTCGACATTTACCGGTGTAAGTCAGAAATAAGAGTATTTGAAAAATATTTCGGACATACACTAAGCGACTATGTGAATGTTGAGATTCACCGGTGAATGTCGGTCGACATTCTCCAGATTTCGGTGTTTCACCGTAACATATATATATATATATAATATAAATGCATCGCTAATCTCGTTTATTTTTCAATCTGTCAATTAACATCCATTTATATTTTTTTTTTTCAGAATATCACAATTTTGATAACAAAATTTTTACCTGATGTGTGAAACTGGGGAATGGAAGATGCTGCATTCAAGATAAAATCATGTCTTGAATTGTGAATAAAATTATTATTATTATTATTATTATTATTGTTTTCTTGTTCAATGTCTAAGTGTAAAACTATGTTTAGACATAGATGTACTAAAACTTATAGCGTAGTAAACACATTTTCAGATCAGAGTGCTTTGTTGTGATATCCGACAGGGTAATATGTTTCGGAAGAAAATCTTCACAGGCACTAGATTCTCTGACATATGTACTTGACTCGCTTTCTCGATAACAAGTTCAATTATTTATATTAATTTCATATCCCGAAATATGTTACAAGTAATTTCTGCTGAAATTCGCTTTCAAGATTTAAGGTATGTTATAGAGCTGTTCTTCAATTTATGCATTTAGGAACATTCAAAGAATCTGCATGTATAATTTGAACAATTTCTGTTTCAGTTTATTAACCAAATATCACAGTTCAACAATTTTTATTACAAAATTAATTTCCATATTGCTGATATGAACATCATATGTACTTTAACATAAAGATATTCCTTCACAGAAATATCAGTCCATTTAGGAAAGTCAGCATTTTGAATAATTAACAGGCTGATGCAGGAAGAACTAGTTGTTATATCCTAATCAACCTGTCCTATTCTATGACAGAAAAATTATTTATATTATGCATTTTTATATCGAATAAATCAGACTGCATATATAGTCTGACACTAAATTTTATCGCAAACATACAAAGCTGCAAGGACTCCTTATTTAATTGAAAAAATTAAGAATTATATTATTTAAACCTGCTAAATTATTATTATTCGATGAATACTATTGGCTCTTTGAAGTCTAATATGTAACATTAGCTTTCGGGATCTTCAAATATTTTTCACATATTCTTAACTGGACTATAAAAATTCTTGTCTGAAATTCAAGTAATTCTTACGGTAAGCCATATAATGTACATAAAATATAACACCATATTTTAATTTGCTTCTTTGATTGCTGCTTTACGTATTATGATAACATAACGATTATTAAAAAAAATCTTCTTTACTTTGAATGAAGCTTTCGCGAATTACATAATTAGTTTTTCACTAGGAATACTTCAATACATTGATTACACTACCTGTATTCATAATATAATAAATATGAAATACTATTTATGCATAAATATACTCGTATTAAATACCCGGTACTTGTAATTATTACGACTATTCTTATACATCCATATCTAATTGAATTAAATGTTCTGTTCAAACAGAGCAATAAATAATTAGAAGATAAATTATAATTTATATATACAATGTATTATTTTGGATTATAAATCATACACCTAATATTAAATATTTAAACCTATTAAATGGAGAAATTAGAGAAACGAGGATAGAAATTTAGATTGCACTAATGCAGAGATAGTCTGCATGATGGGGAATTTTAATAAATGGAGAAATCATTATGAGATTTATAACCATCTCTACCTCACAACTTGAATAATTTAGATTAAATATGCGGCATACATTTTGTAAATTCTACAAGGAATTTTCGCTTTCCTCGCTATGTATCTTAGTGGTGTCATTGGTAGCACTACCGACTGGTAATCAGAAGATACAGAGTTCGAATCCTGGTGAGCGCAGTGGTGAATCTTAACCTTTCCTGCTAAAAAACGTTTAATATATTTTACCAAATATAATAATATAATAAGACCAAAATAAATATGCAATGGAAGATAATTCTTATTAATTGCTTTTTATTAATTACGTCTGAATTTGGAAACTTGATTCCTTCAATCCCAAGTCGTATTTTAAATGGGGTAAGATATTGCATTTGCAAATAGATTATATAGAAGAACAAATGCTTTTACAAATTCATTCAGTGATTTAAGTATGACTTTTAAGCAAAACATTTTTATGAATAAGCACTGAAAAAAGAAAAAGGCAATTACTAGTTTTTTTAGATCACAGGCTAAGGAAAGACTAATTTGATTTAAATTAAACTGAATTGAATATTGCAGCTGAGGGTGGAGTTTGATGTATAAATATTTTGAAATTCGCAAAATCGGTGTTACTGAGAAAGAAATCCCTGTAAATAAAATTCAGTTTTAATTCTCAATAAATTAGTTTAGTTCAGGCTTCATTTTTTGAAAAATAAACAGTAGGAAATAACAAATATATCTTAAAGGGGTTTCGGCATTCCGAATGTCTTGTTGTTAAGCAAGGAATATTTCTTTTCGCACAAAAATAAGAACTCCTGTATATAGATTCAGAGGAAATTATTGTTAATCGTTACTGGTACAAATGCAAAATTTATACATGGATGAAACAAATAATACATAGATATGTGCCTTGAAATATTACCAGACGTAAAATTATTAATAAAGCTCAGACAGCAGAAAATACTTTAAGTCTTACTTCATATTTGTGTTAATTAACTTCGTTAAAGAAGAAAAAGTAATTTAAATTTCTACACTCTATGTTAAAATATACTTCCAACTTTAATACATTTAATCAAAATATATCTTATGTATGGGCTCTGATATATGTTAGTTTTATTGTGTGTTTCATTGAGTGATAATAATAAAATAAATACACTTCTGTGAATTTCGAATGTTTAGTGTTTTATTTTATTTGCGCAATTTACTTCTGGAAATAATTTCAGGTACAACCTTCAGGAATTTTAATGTTATCTAAATATCTGGAATTATAAACGTAATTTTTACACAAGATTTCTTACAGACAGAACAGAGAATGAATGTTTCGAATGAACTAAATGAATGCTTCGTAGCCTAGTTTTAATTTACACAAATTAACTAACATGAAAATTACGCTTTAGCATAAAATAAGAAATCAAAACTACGCACATAACTTTCATATAAGAAAGGTACTTGAATGACAATGTTTCACTCTTTTCCACAAGGAAATGTTCCGGATGAAACTAGCAATTTTTGGTATTCTCAAAGTTAATAGTGGAGGTAGGGAAGCTAAATGAAAATAACAAGAAATATTTTGCATTTGAATGAAATATATTGTCAAAAATAATAAAAATTCTTTTTCGTTAAACATATTCATTTGACATAGAAAACTTCTATAATAAAATTATTAAAATATAAATAAAGTCAATGTGTATAGCTAAAGTGGGAAATTAAAATAAAGCAATAATCAATTCATATACAGGGAGTAGATGAATAAAGAAAATTAAAAACTTCATAAGGTATTTTCTCGTTCGTTCCAGCATGCCTTCGTGGTATAACGATAGCATACTCGGCGCGTGTTCGAGGTGTTCAGTTTCGAGTCCCGGTGAGGGCACTGCACATTTTTCATGTACTTCTGCTTCAAGAAAACTTAATCGCTCTACAATGACGCCAGAACGCAAAGGTGGTGGACGATAATTCGACACCACCAGGATCTAGCTATTGGGCCTCCTCATCCACAGACGCCCTTTAAAACGACGAGTATATAAGTTATTTTTCCCCTCCTTTTAGCATGCCTTCATCCTGTAAAGGTAGCACACTTGGGGCGTATTCGAGAGGTATAGGTTCGAATCCCGGTGAGGACAATGCACATTTTTCACAAATCCTGCTACATAAAGCCTAATGACTCTGCAACTTGATCAAATACAACGATATAAAATCCACTTGAAAAGCAAAGCAAACAAAAATTTATACTTCAGCCGTTTTATAAAAATCATTCCTCTTTTTTGTAAAAAGTCTTTAGAATTTAGATACTGGACAAAAAAAGAAACAGTGTTTCATTTTTATGTATTGAAGTTTTGATAGATAAGACCTTAATAAGTGAAGGAAGTTAAGATAGCTTTCATTGACCTTTCATTAAAGCTTAAAAATAATATACTATATGGAGTGTAAATTATTAAGATCTGCTCAAAACTTCAACCCAGAACTCACCTACAAAATTGTCTGGAACGCTTAACAACATACAGATAATTTTTGCTTAATGATGAGATACGAGTAATTTTAACTTCATTAATTGATTACTTATAATATTCTCGGGTGCACTATAATTTTCCATAATTTATCAAACTATCATTATTATGAAAAATATCCATAATTTATCAGTGAACTAAAGATTTAATTGCACTAGTTGCCTGAGCTTGCTAATTCTACTAACTAATAACCTACCAAGTTGAGATTTCTTTCATTAGGAGCATTATAAATTTTGGGTATATGCTTCAGACGTACTTTGTGCATATGCTTCTATATGTATATTCCAAAGTCCCAAGGTATTCTGTTTAAAAATGTATACTTTGTATAAATAGTTAGTGTATATATTTTTGAAGCATATCTTTTTTACAACGTATTTTAAATGAAGTCCCTTAGTTCAGTGCATTTGTCCGCATGTTTCAGCGCATTCCTAGCAAATATAAGAAACTTTTTATCTGTATTATGTATCTAGATGGCAGCATTAATATTCACTTTCAGTTTTTCCGACATGTATGTATTATTTACTTATACTGGTTTGAAAATCTTCATAAAAAAATTTTTCTTTTGTAAAATCGGAACATCTCAGCGGCCATAGCCTTTAAGTATTATTCTCTCACCAAAATATTATTCCAAATACTTCATGGTTGAATCTGTTACCTTAACTTGAGACTGACAATCTAATTACCTTAACTTGAGACTGACATTTAATCTGTATTTACAAAGCAATGAAAATCTGGGTAATTTCTTACAGATTTCCATCCATGATATTTCAAACAAAAGTAGTCCTGTTATTCGCCACCTTTAAATGGCATACTGGATAGTGCTCTTGTAAGGCTGCAAAGGAGATTTAAGGAACTGATGCAAATTTTAAGAACTCCATAATTTCCATAATTTTTTCTCAGCTGCAATATTTAATTCAATTTAATGTAAATAAGAATTATCTTTTTTCTCCTAATGTAAAATGAGAACGTGGCCACAAATATAGGTCAAACAAAGCATAGACAGAGACAGAAAATAAAATAAAATATAAACATTCAAAACGTAACCTGACCTGTCAGCATGTTACATATAAAGAAACACAAGAAAAAGCGGACAACGACTGCAATATAATACATCCTTTGTCAGAAAAGTTTCAGGACAAATGTCGTATAAAACAGA